GGAATTAAATGGGCTTCCTCGTTTCTGATCTCACCCCATGAACATCTCTACACAAAATGTTATTGTATGTTTTTTAACAGCATTCTACCATATCAGCTACACCACCTATAAATGAAAAAATTGTTCAAATTATACTAAAACCTACAAGTATGTGTAYAGAGCCTTCCATATTTTGATATTTTTTTTTTAAAGTTGGTTGGAAAAGGGAATTGGACCTAAAAAAATGCATTAATTGCTGAACTAAGTTTATGTTGGTCATTTCATTCTTTGAGTTAATAAATAAAAGGTTAAAAAACATTTTTAGTTCTTGTACTTTCGCTAAAGTAACAATTTAGTCCCTAAACTTTAGTTTGTAACGATTTAGTCCATGTACTTTCAAATTGCTAACAATTTACTCCTTCAACTTTAATGTCTAACAATTTAATACTTGTAATTTAAAGTTGGTAACGATTTAATTCCTTATCGTAAAATTTTTTTTGTTAAGTTTCTTGTACGTATAAACTAAAGATGGACCAAATATGTTTATGAATTTATGAAGATTAAATTGTTATATGATAAAATTTGACACTTAATTTTAATAAAAAAATTTTACGATAGAGACTCAATTATTATAAATTTTAAACTACAGGCATTAAATCGTTGTAAGTTAAAATTCATGGAGCATACTAAACACGAATTAACTATTAAAATATAGGAAAAGTCTATACAGTATCTACTTATCCAATATGTGCATTTTTTATCAAACAAAAATTGTCTTCGGTAGATCATTTAATACATGGTTTTTTTTTTTTTTGATAAAGCATTACATGATATTTATCTTAAAAAAATATATTTCACAAATGTCGATTTGTTTTCACTATTTATAAATGTAGATTTTGAGATTTGAATTTACATTTTTAACCTTAAAATTATCCACAATCAATACCATCTCATTACCTTTATTAAATCTTTTCTTAAATATATGTCAAAGCTAGCATACCTTCACAGCTCCAATCATTTCGGTGAATTTATTTCACTATTTCGGTGGTCTTTTCTAATTTTCCGACGACCCATTATTTTTTTCGACCTTCTATTTCACTTTTCCGACGACCATTATATAATATATATCTTTTAATCTAATATATAGTATGATAAACATAAGTTATATAATACATCCTTTTTACACAATTAGATTATATAATATATAATTTTATCAACAAAGTATATGTGGTATATATCTAAAATATACTCAATATCATTCATAATATTATAAGCTATCTACAAATAATACAATTGAAGTATGATTGAACATTACAAAATATATGCTCCATATACAAAAATATATGGAGGATGTTAAAAATTTAGGCTACTAATTCTCCTACTTAACACGTTTATCAAAAGACCTTACTTTTTCTACGGAAGAATACATTATATTTCTTAAAAAAAATGTATATATTCTTTTACAAGGATGTAACTCTCATATTGTGTCTCTCTTTAATAACAAAACAAGAAGGTGCTAAAGTGAGCATAGGTTAACGGGATTTCATCCTATAATTTAGCTTAAATTAAAAACTTTAAACATGAAGGTTTGAAGGTGATAAAAAAAATTGGAGGTGCARGGAATCGAACCYTGTGCCTCTCACATGCAAAGCGAGTGCTCTACCATATGAGCTACACCCCCTCAATTGGTACTCATGTTTTGAAACTAACTATATGGAAACAGCATTCYATTCTTGAAGATTATTCATTTTTACTCCATTCTTGAGTTAATAATAAAATTAATATAAATATTGAGAACTAAGATTCATGATGAGATTGTGGATCTTTTATCAAAAGACACAACTTTGTACTTTGTATATTAAAGTATACATTCAGAAGATATGTAAATGTGTTTCTTCTTGAAAAGGAAACATGAAGGTTTGGAAATAATTATTAAAAGAAAAAAAAACAACAAAATTTGGAGGTGTGGAAAATCAAATCTCGTGTTTCTCGCATGCAAAGTAAACGCTCAACCATCCTATACTTCGTATGAATATTCAAATTACAGAATTATTTATAAAGTTTTCTAATACTTTGAGTTGAAAAATAAAATTATCAAACTAATATTAATAACTATGAGAATATAGACATCTTTTTATCGAAAGACATAACTTTGTACGAAAACATATTACATTCATTCATATTGGACGATGCTCCCGACCAAATGGATGATGGATTGGCGAAGCGAGCAACCAACCTAGGAGTTTTGGAAAGACGACTTTTTCACCATGGGAGCGACCACTCTTTCCCTCAATGTCTATGTGATTTAATGGAGCGTGACATGACTTTTTGAGTTCTTTTTGTTTTCATATTTAATTACCACAAAAATAAAATCAAAAGACATAAAAACAAAAGACATAACTTTTTATGAGAGTATATATTATTTAAAAAAATATGGAGGTTCATGCAATAATAATAGAAAAAAAAATTTGTAGGTTCGAGAATCAAAGCATCACGTCTCTTCCTTGTGAAGCGAGCACTTTACTACTCTTTTCTTGGTAAACAACCTTTTCAAATTATAACTAAACCAATAATAATGTACAAAGCATTTTATTGGCTTGATTTACTTAGTAGGAATCTGGATGATAAAAAATATGAATAAAAATCAATTGGAATATAATTAATCAAAATAAAAACTTATTTATTCGATGCTATTTTTTAAAAATGGTGTAAAATCAATTTCAGAAATCTGATGAAGTTGTCCACACAGAAATATGAATCAAACATATTATAATTATTAAAATGCACTTTTAAGATTTGTAGTCAATTAAAAATTCAATAAATAAACAGTATCCTAATATAACTGAATACTATTCATASATTTTAATTTATTTCATTTGATAGTAACTGAATACTAATCATAAATTTTAATTTAGTTCTTATACTTTCAAATCCGTAATAATTTAGTCTCTCAACTTTAGCGTATAACAAATTATTTCTTTACAAATTCGTAATAACTTTAGTTTATCAATCTACATATGTAATAAATTTCATCCAATCTTAATAATATTTTTTACAAAATGACCTAAATTGTTAGAAATAGGAACTAAACTGCTACATAGTAAATTTTATTAACTAAATTGTTATAAATTGAAAGTACGCGACTAAATCGTTACAACCTAAAGTATTATTTCAATAAAAGTACATTCATTTTCGATGAACAAAACCTTGATTTTTATTTTCTATTTTTTATATCCATTATTAAAGCGAGCATAACTAATTGGCATATATTTGAAACTAAGARGGTGTGAGTTAAATCTCTCATATCCACATGTTGTACCAAAAAAATATCATTTCGTCAATTTGTTACTAATAAAATGTATAATTAATATAAAATAAATAATAATGAATGACATAACAATTCAGAATATTTAATTTTTCAAGTAAGTTTTTATTTTTCAATTAAGAATTCTAGAGAAGGAACTAGATACGTTACCAAAAACAGTTTTATTTATTTTTCAATTCAAAAACAAAAAACAATAATATATATTTTATAATTAATAGAAAGAATAATTTTTTTAACAGTTTTTCAAATAAAAACTTATCATAAACTTTTGATTTGTCTAATTGCACCATAAACTTAGATGTATATTGCGAAATTGATGCACACCAACAAATTCAAAGTAAAAATGGATCTTTTCCCTATAAATTTCAGGAAAGCATGAATACTTTCAGTTATGCTCCATGAAGAAAAATTCATTTTTAGTTTACCAATTTAAAAAATTTATAAATCCTACTACCTCTGCATCGTTGAGTTATACTTTTAAAAAAACCAAAAATTTATAACTAAAATAATACATATATAATTAGGCATCGACCATCTTCAAATATAAATCGGAGATCCACTTCAATGTTCAAGGCTAACAGCACGAGCAATTACAATCCCTATGAATTTCATTAAGTAATATTGCTCCCTTCAAATGCATTACGTTACGGAGTTCTAGATCTTAACACTCTACACTACCTCCTGGTAACTCTATCGCTCTATTTTTTAAATGCGCTCTTATTCAAGCCTTGTAAGAATTTTAATGAGTAGACAAACTTGAACACTATTAGGTAGAAATTAAGATCAAACAGAACTTTTCTCTTTCAGAATAAATCATAAATGCAAGGATATGTAAAGTAAACAATATGTGAATATGAGTAAAAATATTTTTTTTAAAAAGTGTTCTTAACTTGTTATGATCTCATCCCATCCTAAGGATGAATACAAATACAATAAAACATCTCATTACATAAAATGAAACTGAATCAAATTCGTATTCTAAAATATTTTCAGAAATGACAATCATAACATATTCACACATGCACATGCTACAGTGTGAAAAATTACAGAAAAACGTATTTCTAAATATGGTAAGATTATCAAAAAAATAATAATCCTTTTTCTCAAACCAGACCTGGCCAAAATTTCTCTCAAAAGACCCACTCGCATCAAAGTTGCAGAGGGCATTGTAAACTTACAGAACACAGTAGAAGATAGAAAATGCATATCCGGATACAAATCTACTTTATAATTAAGTCAGTAAATAAGCAGGCTATGAAAAATATCAATGGCAGTAAAATATTCTATCCAAAATCATGAAAAACCAACCTATTCCTCCTCGTTTTGAGTTTCATCTTTGTAAAGCTTGATCATGTCGTCAATACGCAGAATTGTAATCGCTGCTTCGGTTGCAAACTGGGGGCAAATTTTGGAGGAAAAAAATATGTATGAAGAAGGTTGCTAAAGAATAAACATAAACGAAAATTTTAAAAGAAATTTACCTGAATTATCTTGACTTTGCTCATGGCAGGCTCAATGACACCTGCTTCCAAGTTATTGCGGATAGTTCCATTGGACAGATCTAGTCCCATGCTGCTCAAAGAATGGAAGTAAAAAACAATTTACAAAAGGTTGACAACACCGTTAAACCTTAAATGCACCAATGTAATCCCAACCCAAACAGAAACCAAGAGGGGATGACAAGTTGGTTGCCAAGAAAACTAGTGGGATTTTAATATCCTAGTGGGTGGACACGATCGGCTCCAAACTCATTTCCCTCGAGTCCCTTTAGTTTCTCACTAGCCCCAATGACCACTAGGTCTACCTATGATGGTTGTCGTCACATCATAGTTGATTACCATTTTAACTTAGGAATGGATAATCTTTCTCCAATGTGTATGAGCAACACTGGACCACCTATTTCTCCATTGCCTTTAGTTTGGGGCTTTATAGCTTCTTTGCTAGATTACATTCCTAGAAGAATTGAGGATTTCATTGCTGAAGATTATGGAGGAAGGCAGCTCAAGGGCAAAGCTTGGGTTCTTTGGAATTGTGCGGCCCGGGCACTTTTATGATTGATATGGAAGGAATGGAATAGTCGGATTTTTGAAGATAAGTTGATTTTGTTAGATTCTTTTTGTGTGAATATTAAGCATCTAACTTCTTGGTGGGCTTTACTACACAAGAAAGTTTTTTGTAACTACAATCTTCTTTTGCTTACACAAGATTGGAAAGCGGTGATTGTATAGAGTTTTGGGGAGGGTTAGCTCTACCCTCCGCCTTTTGTTTGTATCCCT